GTAAAAAATCTATTAACAATTGGGGTTTTTGAGAAATAAATAACTAACCACTTACTAAATAGTCACCCTAATGTGATCTGTTGAGATGTATCCAGGGAGCCAAGTTTGTACCAAAAAACAGTTTTATTGTCAGTTCTGACGCTGTTTGATTTTTAAAATAACGTTAAACATGTTTATAACTTTCAGGCAGATTAGAAGGAACAAGATACAACTGCTGAAAACTGAAGAACTAGACGTGTTAACAACATGCAACCACTGAAACAAATACAGAGAGAAATGAGTCCTTAAACTAAAAATACTCTCACAATAATATGCCCAGTCTATTCGCAAAGTCCAACATGCACATGAAAGGACGCACGTCGCATCTCGGTATCTCACACCATCGGGTCATCCCGGTCCAAATGTGTCGCCGCCCTGCTGGAGAACACGTCGGCTAGCATGTGTTTGGGAATCTCGGATCCGCGCACACGTAGGGTGTAACACGCGTCCTCCACCTTCCCCAGGCTCTGCCGCAGCGTGTGCAGTTTCTTAGACACCTCGTAGGGTCCCGTGTTGCCGATGTAGGAGAAGCCGTCGTGGATTTCCCGCAGGAAGCCGCTGAGCTGGAAGGGGGTGTCTATGTCGCCGTTGCCCACGCTGCTTATGCACATGCGCATCAACTCGCCCGTCAGGTCCGCTACGCCCAGCAGGTAGTCGATCGGCGTTATCTGGAAGGTCAATACGCTCGGGCCGGCCCACGCGACCTCACCTTCACCCTTCAGAGAAAGAGACGAGCAAACAATGAGTTTCTACTGCCAAAAATGGCTTTTGGATCACCAGTTTATAGTCTAGCTAATGAATGAACGGCTGATCAATCTAGCAGTGACCCTAGTTTTCAGTATGATCAATGGAGAGCTGCAGTGATGATGTATTTTTGTAGTTTTGGTGTGTTGAAGTCATGTTGGAAAGATCACATTTACGAGTTGAACGCACATGAACATCACCACAAGCTTGTAATTATGAATGGGAAACTCTGAACGTTCTAAACACCACATGTTTACATAACAGGGTTTCTGCAGGTTTTATGAAGGTAAATTTAGGCCTTTTTATGACCTTTCTAAGACCAAATAACAATACATTTAAAGGGATAGTATACCCAAAAATGAAAATTTTGTCACCGTTATGTTGTTCCAAACCTGTATGATTTTCTTTCTTCTGTTAAACACATAAGAAGATATTTTAAAGAATAGCCAAACAGTTGAATCCCATAGTTTTTTCCCCCCCCATACCATGGAAGTCAATGGCTACCACCAACTGTTTGGTTACCAACGTGAATATTTTCTTTTGTCTTCAGCTGAATAAAGAAACTCATTCAGGTTTAGAAAAACTTGAGTAAATGATGACAGAATTTTCATTTTTGGGTGAACTATCCCTACATCACAATACGTCAATATGGTCTCTTAATGTGAATGTCTTGAATTAGAAACACTTCACAGTTTGAAAATACAACTTCCAACATATCTCCAATTACTTCTTTTTTTTTTTACAAATACACAGAAATAATTTTTACTGTACCTTCTGATCACACTGCAAAAAAGTGATGCTCTTCCTCTGTATTCTTGTCTAGTTTTCCAGTGCAAACGTCCAAAGATTTAAAATCAAGATGCATTTGAGAAGAAAAATATGACATGAGATAATAAGTCTTGTTTTATGAGAACCTGATCAAAATGGGAGTTTATGGTTTAAATACAAACTTAATTCAAAGAGAAAACAAGTTAATACAGTCAACGGCCCACTGACAGACATTTGTCCTTGTTTTAAACAAACTCATTCCATTTCTCAGAAAACAAGACTTCATATGTTCAATTTGTCTCTCAAGTAAATGTAACTTGATTTAAGGATGTTTGGATAATTGTATTGGAAAACAAAACAAAAAAATACTGAGGAAGATATACATTTTTTTCAGTGCATGGAATGCCATGACTTTATAAATTTAAAACTTTTTGCTCCTATTTAAGACCTTTTAAGGTCTGCAGAAACCCCGAGAAAGAAAACATGTTGGATGCAATGGATATAGTGGCTATACTGACGATAAATTTGTTGAAATTAATT